AGCTTGTGTGTGTTTCAGTGAGCTTGTCTGTAGTGAGCTTGTGTATGTCAGTGAGCTTGTCTGTAGTGAGCGTGTGTGTATCAGTGAGCTTGTTCACTGCCCGCAGCGGCCAGCTTCAATGTTTCCTGTGCGGCTTAGCAAAGGGCTGAAAATTCCAGGCGCCAGGGTGAAATTTCTAGTCGCCATGGCAATCACCGTTATCGGTCTCAGTTTTTAGTAAATTCGCTATTCATTGCTATATCAAATTTGGACGATGAAAATAAACTTTAATTTTGTGTTTTTCTTTTCTGTGCATCTTGTGCTAAAATGCGATAAAAAAAATATTAAATATAAGTAGGACATTCCGTACTAGCGTAGGGTCTTTATAGAATACATTGTGAGTGGAATGTCACGAAGAGATAATTCTCTAGAGGTTTTAGAATGTAAAATATAAATGCACTGCCCCCATAGTGTAGATTGTTATGTAATAGTCATTGTACCATTTGATTGTACAATGATTCATCTGTAAGCTTCTCCTGTAAGTGTATTCCAGACTGGAAAGATGGAATCACAGTAATTTGCATAATGACGAAGACCTACAGGATAATTATTTACATGGATGCAAAGTAGAAACATTCGATAATGGTTTACATTTTATAGTTTTCCTTTTTTTTCACACCTGGATGCAAATGCAGACTGCTTTGTACTCAGTATTTCACGCTCTCCTGTGCTTTGTTCAGAAGATTGGCTGCCATCATCACACTGAAATGTGCTTCTCTTCCGAGAGAAATTACCTTTTAAAGCAGAACACCTGCTTTGTTAATGGATTGCTATTATTACTGTGTTTGCCTAGGGGTTAAAACTAAGATTCTAAAATTAAGATTCTAAATTAAGATGCTGCCTTGTTACAGTAATCATGCACAAGGCCCCAACACCACTAGATGGTGCCACAAAGCTTTGCACACATGTCACAGCATTAGTAGACGTGTTCCTCATTCACAAGATATTACATTTGTGATAAGCCATTAGTTCAACAAATCTAATAGAGTGATCAATGTTAATGATTGAAAAAATATTATCTGAATAGTCTTTGCTCTGCCTTGGGGTTCACAATGGTGCAACCTTATTTAGGGCCTGCAAAATAATATTAGATACTCATTACTCAATAGGTACTCAGAGTCATTTCCTTCTCCTTGGCACAGTGCAGGTACTGGGGGCATGGATTCATATGTAAATATTCCTATGGTCACCCGATCTGTTGGACAATTGCTCTTTTTGTGTTAATTGGTTATTGAATGTATTTCTCTAGGAGCTCTGGACCTCTAGATCCCTGTGCCTCTTTCCCAGACAACAGTGGTTTCTAACTATATATCATCAGAATACACTGAAATTCATCTAATGTTCAAATATGTCCTGGAGAGCATCTACAATATACAGTATTAGAAAAAAGGAAAAATCAGCGCTCAACTGCCACACAAATAAAAGAAAAAGGCAGCACTTCTCAGAGGGGAATCCCCTATAATCCCCTAGGTTATTAAAAGACAAGAACAAAATAAAAAGGATAAGAGTGCGCCTAAAAGGAATAATATGACATATACAGAGTATAAAAATAATAGAATATAAAAAGTTAAAATAATAAAAGTCCAAAACACTTATCAAGAGTCCATAATAGTAGGTTCTATTTGAAGAGACAAGGAATCTTGGGACGTCAGACGGTGTCGGGTCTTCACAATGGTATGCTCGAATCCAGTGAAGAATATATGGAAGGGAAATAGAAACAAGAACTCCAATGGTGCAGTATATCAAATGAAAATAAAATTCTAAAATAGTGAAAATAGTCGTACTCCCAATTTTCAGAGCTAGATCCTAGCTCTGATATTATGCACGTGAAGTGGAATGATCCCCACTGAAGGATATACACAATAAGTGTTTGATTGGAGGATATCTGGCCCAGGTTCGGTGTTCGAGTTGATATTGTTCGACCCAAAATGAGAGAATAAGAATATAGTGCTCTCTGTGTATAGTTGAACGTAAGGATATAAAGAAAATTACTTACATTCTCTAGAGCAGACTTGTACTGCTCGATGAAAACGTTTGGGTGGTATAATCCCCACCTATGGATTCTTTTAGGCTCCTTGTGGATGTAGGTCAGGTGCAGAAGTAAAATAAAAATAAAATAAAATAAAGAAAAATGGCAATAAAGTGTCTTATGCCAAATTAAATTCTTTATTATAAAGTAATTAAATAAAATATCTAAACGCGTTTCGCCTCAAAAGGCTTCTTCAAGTAGATAATAGTGAAAATAGTAGCTTCTTTTACTATTTTCACTATTATCTACTTGAAGAAGCCTTTTGAGGCGAAACACATTTAGATATTTTATTTAATTACTTTATAATAAAGAATTTAATTTGGCATAAGACACTTTATTGCCATTTTTCTTTATTTTGGAGTTCTTGTTTCTATTTCCCTTCCATATATTCTTCACTGGATTCGAGCATACCATTGTGAAGACCCGACACCGTCTGACGTCCCAAGATTCCTTGTCTCTTCAAAAAGAACCTACTATTATGGACTCTTGATAAGTGTTTTGGACTTTTATTATTTTAACTTTATATTCTATTATTTTTATACTCTGTATATGTCATATTATTCCTTTTAGGCGCACTGTTATCCTTTTTATTTTGTTCTTGTCTTTTAATATACAGTATTAACCTGGGGCATAAACAATACAATTGCACATTAAAAAAACATGTTGCTACTTTTATCGAAGATTCATTGAGGCAGGGAAATTATATTCCCGGTTGATTTCATGTTCTTTGAAAGATTTGTTTAAAGGCTCACTATAGGCACCCAGACCACTTCAGCTTAATGAAGTGGTCTGGGTGCCTGGTCCAGCTAGGTTTAACCTTTTTTTTATAAACATAGCAGTTTCAGAGAAACTGCTATGTTTATAAATGGGTTAATCCAGCCTCTAGTGGCTGTCTCAATGACAGCTGCTAGAGGGCTTCCGCGCTTCTCACTGCGCATTCAGCATGCGCATTCAGCCGAAGTGGAGGAGAGGAGGCTGAGAGAAGTAGGAGAGCTCCCCGCCTGGCGCTGGAGAAAGAGGTGAGTTTAATCTCTTCCTCCCCCCAGAGCCCGGCGGGAGTATGTTTTCCTGGCACTATAGTGGTCCTTTAACATTTAAGGAGCTCTGTGATTGAACATTGTTTAATCCACTTCCATTTTGTGATAAGGAATGGAATGTAAAGTGCTAAGTGAACTGTAGACATAGGTGGTAAGAACAATTATATGAGTATGATGCTTAGGGAGTTTTTCTGAGAATTAAAAAAAAACCATGCTTAAAAATAACTGTGTCCGGATTGCAGAGATATCGTATTTAGTTATTTTATATGAAAGGCAAAGGAAGTCTTGTCTGGTTTATTCAAAGTAAGTATATACATGTATCTTTGTATGGTTTGTTTACCAAAGTCATGAGGAGTTTTCATATTCAGTCCAAATCACTGGATAATTTAGTAACTTTGCATACGAAGTCTCATTGGTTTTTTGGATAATAAAAAATAAAGCACTGGAAAAAAATTCAATCCCATTTATGAAATTATAATATTTTCTGAGACTCCCTCACAGATCTGCTATTTGTGGCTCCAAATGTATATCTGTCCCACTGAGTTCAGATTTCTAAATTTGATTTTTTTTTTTTAGTTTGTATAAACAATAACTGTCACACAGGTGATATTGAATTTGTAGATTTTTCAGGACAAGTAATTGGAGACATAAAAATATATATAATATTCTATTATAGCAGCACTAACTCTGTTAGCCTGTAAATGGGTGACCCCAAACATCCACTTGCAAACAGAGCTCATCCACTTTATAATCACAAAATGGTGCATATGAGGGACATGTTAGATCACATCTGATGAGTAAAGAATGGGATTTTTGGCACAATACTATCCTAAACTCTTATTTGCCTTGGTCTTTGAAAGCCCGATAGCTTTATCGTACTATACAATTTTATGCTCAATTGGAAACAAACCCTACAAGCTGCTTAATGATTTATCCAAACCAATGACGAATTGTGCAAGATATGACTACCTTGTAGCAAATGTATTAAAACTTGGGTAACTGTAAAATCTGGTTGGAACGGTCGGCAACATTAAATCTTCTTGTCTTCAGTTGATTGCTATATATATATACACGTCTTTTGTATATATAGTCTTGGGCCAAATGCTCGCCACAATAATATATGTCTATATTATTTAAAAGTATTAATACGCAATCTGACTTACGGTTTCTTCAGGGTTATTCTTAGTTACGGATACATAATAAAACAACAAAGGATGTTACAGGATAATGGACATTCAACAGCACATGGTAATTGCTGGACTTCTTTACATCCTTACATCTTTACATCGAGAAAGAGAGCCAGAGAGAGCCAAGAGCCAAGAGAGAGAGCCAAGAGAGAGCAACCTCGTGCCCCTCTGTTACTATATAGATGTGCTCATACTAACGTCAGCGTTTAACTCTAGCCAAATAAGGACAAAACCCCCAAATCCACATTCCAGAGCTCTCGGACAAAGAAAGCCTTGTGACTTATACCATCTGTTACTTATGTCAATCCACACATCCATATATAATCAATAGAAACATAGAATATGCAATATTCTACAGTAACATTCTACATTAGGCACATACAATCGCTCCAGTATATCCTTAGTCAGATGCAATTGGCCTCCGATAGATGTACCAAATCCCTTCAACCCCCCCTTACTCATCTCCCTTTTCTACTTCTCCCCCCAGTTATTACGATTGTTGTTTTTGTTACATAACATAACAGTTTATTTCAACAAATATACCAAGAATTCTTAGTCCACTTAAAACATGTTATGTGTAATTATGCAAATACTCTGCCCTCTAATCTCTTGTAAATACACTGCATACTGTATTTACTAAATTCCACTACAGTAAAATTCAGTTTTACAAAATAAATCACCAACTGAACTGGGCTGCAAATACCACCATTTTTTTTTTTTCAATGTCAGCTCTTCAAACTTTATTGCAAACTCCAAACCAAAGAAAACACAAAGTGAATATTTTATACATCAGACCAAACAATAACATAACACAAATATTCTGTACAGATAATCTAACAGCAGAGTGCAAGGGTTAAATTATAAAATTCCAGGTCAAAAGTAGTAGAGAAGAGATGCGAGATCAATTAAAAGAAATTAGCAGTTATCCAACAGTCATGGATGAGGTGTCCGTAAAATGACTCAGACATTTATCTAAATGCAGGAAATTTACATAACAGGAATGTGTAGCTGGTATTTGTGTTGATCTAAGATTCCCTCCGTGCATGCCCCAGTCCGAATGTGAAACTGGAATAAAGGCTATTGTTTACTGTATCCAAGTAGATTGAAGTGTTCGAGCAATCAATCTATATGCTGTTCCGATAGGGATACTGACAAACCCTGCACACTTGGTGTGATCTGCAAAATGCGCGTGTAACCCACCATAAATGTGTTTAAGTGATATGTCCATATAAAATGCCTGGCAGTTGTCAAAAGGATCAATTACGAAATTTGGTTAATTGATTAATTAACCTAATTAAAATAATTTTAACCCATATGCAAAAAAAGTATTTTGCAACAGGCGATTCGGTGAGTTTATGAACTAACCAAATTTCTGAATTTGTTCATTTGTCGTCTAAAATCCATTTTATTCAGATGAATCACTTACATTTTCATGTACCCACATACACTTTACACTCTCCTTTAATTAAAAAGAAACTCCACACTGTGTTCAATCCAACATTTTCTACTTAACTGTACCCAATCAAACTACAAGCCTCAATAAATCCACAAATAAAACACTTTAAACGAAGCAATACATTCGTAAAACACAACAGATTTAACTTGTCCATTTATTGCACTATCGTTTCTTTCCCAGACTCCTTCAATATCCACTGACAGTGTAACCCACTCCAACAATACACAACACGAACTGTACCATCTCTTATGTCAGCATACTGACTGCATTTACTGTACCGCTTGTCTACAGCAATTGTAATCTGTAAAGTACCAAGTACACCTGCTAGCGATGCAGAAATGCAATATTCACACACTGTAAGAAGCTTTACATGACCTCTGCACACATTAGTCCACCAAAAAAACTAGACTGGAGCATCCATCCAGTAAATCCCATTACAACTGTAACCGAATAAAGGGGAACTGTCACTTCACTGGAATGGACACAGTTGACAAAAACATTGAAAAATCACCTGCAAAACTTGCTCTTTTTTTTTTGCAAATACCACCATTTATGTACGTTTTAAGTTTATGATGATTTCTAGAACTTTACAGTTTTACAAAAATAGATGTGTTGTGCTCACTTGTTGAGTCCTTTTTCACATGACTTTGCCACCATATAGCAATTATTTCATTTTTCAAAACGTGTTTTGAGATAAACCTCCAGTTAAATCAATGGGTAGATTATGCTAAACACATTAGTTTTTTGCATCTTACTAAACCGTAGCACTTTTAGCTGTAGTTACCAATTTAAGATCTATTTTTTTCAAAATGGAAGGGGCCATCTTGAATGTGAATCAGAATTTTTAAACAGCAAAGCTGCAGAGAGAGCTCTATCATAATTCTCCTTGATCTTTCTGCTGTCTTTGACACTGTTGATCATCAACAGCTTCTTCTCATTCTCTGTAATTTTGGTCCACTGCTCTCTCCTGGTTTCTTTCTCTGACTCTGCCTCTTCCCCCCAACCACTCTCTGTCGGCGTCCCCCAAGGTTCTGTCCTTGGTTCCCTACTATCTATACTGCCTCCCTTTGTAAACTCATCAGCTCCTTTGGCTTCTGTTATCATTTCTATGCGGACGACACGCAAATCTACCTGTCATCACGTGATCTCTCTCCGCCCATCTTTACTCGTGTCTCTGACTGGATGGCTGCTCACTTCCTTAAACTCAACCTGTCCAAAACAGAACTTCTGGTCTTTCCTCCCTCAAGTGTTACTACTCCTGTGTCTGTCTCCCTCCAAGTCAATGGCGCTACCATCACCTCTACTTCGAAAGGCTCGCTGCATGGGTGTTCTTTTTGATTCAAACCTCTCCTTCACCCCTCATGTCAAATCAATCACCAAATCCTGTCGCTTCCATCTCAAAAACATAGCACGCATTCGCCCCTATTTAACCCCGGATGCGGCTAAGGTGCTAGTCCATGCTCTTGTTCTCTCTCGCTTTGACTACTGCAATACCCTTCTCAGTGATCTTACGTGTTCCCAGATTGCACTGCTCCAATCTATAATGAATGCGTCGGCGAGGCTCATTTTTCTGTCCGCTTGCACCTCCCACGCCTCCCAGCTCTGTCAGTCCCTGCATTGGCTTCCAGTTAGATATAGGGCTCAATTTAAAATTCTGGTGTTTCCTTACAAGTCCCTACACAATGCTGCTCCTACCTATCCTCCCTAATACACAAGAATGTTCTGTCGAAGCCCCTACACTCTGCCAAAGACCTATGTATATTATTCTGTGGAACTCCCTTCCATTCTCTGTAAGACTTTCACCCAGTCTCCACTTACTAAAATAATCATTGAAAACTGACTTCTTCAAGAAAGCATATCAGTTAAGCAGGTTTCTATCCCCCACCCCCATGACTCCTCTCCTGCAACTGTCAAAAATTACCTATTAAACCCTCAATGAATACTTTTCTAACAACCTACTTTGTACCCCTACGTTTACCCTTTGTGTCACTATACCCCACTCCCTCTAGAATGTAAGCTCATTGAGCAGGGCCCTCCACCTCTCTGTTCCTGTACGTCCAATTTGTCTGGTTACAGTTACATGTCTGTTAGTCCACCCATTGTACAGCGCTACAGAATGTGATGGCGCTATATAAATAATAAAATAATAATAATAATAATAATAATAATGTCAGCAGTCAGTGAGATGTATGCTTAAAAAAAACTCCCAGCATTCAACCCTACAGGGAAGAGTGGAAGGTTTTGTTGAATTCCATAATCATGCAGATTTTCCTTTGTATCTTAGGCAGTGCTGTTAATGTTTTTATTGTAGTAAGTTGCCTGGGCCCAATTAACATATTGCAGAAGATTTATTAACGTGTTGTTGACATTTTCCATCTATTTTTCTGTGAATATTTGGTGCAATTTATTAAATCTATTGTTTTTGGATCTCTATCTTCTTTTACGTCCTGTCATTTTTTTAATATATGCACTTTTTTTCAATGAAGCTAAACATTTATCAATCTTTTAACTTTTTCAAAAAGAAAAGGGATAATTTTTTTTCTGAAATATTTTTTATTGGAAGGTTTTTATTTTTAACAATAATAATCATTGTAAAACAATAAAATATATGGAATAAAGAAAACATGTAAATCAAACAAACAAACAAAAAGAAACAGGGAGAAAAGTATCCATCCATTATACAATTGATAACATATGCTTTATGAAAAACACTACAGAGCGTCAAATAAGGTGTAAAAGCACTTTACACGTACTGGTAATAAATTGTGTACAAACAGTTGCATATACAAACAGAACAAGAGTAAAAAGAGAGGCACATAAAGTAAAAATTTCATCATAAATAGTATGTTCGTTTGACATTTTTCTCCCATATGTTCCAGTGGTATGTTACTGATTCTGTTGTGTTTGATGGCAATCTCATGGCACTTATTCTCAAAGGTCAATGTTAATACCTCTTTAATGGCAGTAACTACATCGGACCTCCAATAACGTGGTATTACCTTAGTGGTTGCTATCAAGACTTGGCCTACCATTATCTTATCCACTTTGGTAAAGTTTTCAGGAAACGGCTTGAATAAGCATAGTTCTGGAGTCAAAGTTACAAAAGAAGAGGTAATATCCCTGATTATTGTATGTATATTCTTCCAAAATAATTGTAAACGTGGACAATGCCACCACATTTGTGAATATGTGGCTGTTTGCCCACAGTCACGCCAGCAGAGATTTGTAGAATTGGGGTATATTTTCTAGAGATTGGATGGAGTCAGATACCACCAATATAAAACGTTATAGTGGTTCACCAAATGAGCCGAACACTGGATGATACCTTTCAAATTTAAAGAAATAGCCAACCAGTCATCCAGAGACATTTCTATCTGGAGATCCCTTTCCCATGCGACTATGTAATTCAATTTGGTTTGGGGCTTAGCATTAATATAGGAATAACATAATGATATAGTCTGGTTTCTTCCCGGGTTATCAATATATATATATTTTTATTTGGGAATTCTCTGAATTAGTATATTTTTGGTCTAGTATTGGGACTTATCTCACTTACTTTGGTAACTACAATCTCAGATTTCATGGCATCTGAATCTTCTAAATCATGTTTTAATCTGAATTTGTCAAATGGTAACAATTAATTATTTGAGAATAAATCTTCTAGATTATGTAGAGAGAGGGACCCCCAGAAATCAACATCAACACCAGGAGTTTCATATTTTAAAATGGACACTGGCATGGCCCTGGACCACAAAACCGTTTCCTTTATCTGCCTAAACATTATATCCCAAGTCTTTAACATTGTCCTGGTTGTGGGAAGTATTTTCCTGATTTTAGGGCACAAATTATGAGGTAACCATAAAAGTTCTTTTATCGAATATGTTAGTAACTTTTCTTTTTCGGTAACCAATAACCACTGAGTTAGATCGGCAATCAGATTAAACTTAAAGGACCACTCTAGTCACCCAGACCACTTCAGCTTAATGAAGTGGTTTGGGTGCCAGGTCCCTCTAGGATTAACCCCTTTTTTTAATAAACATAGCAGTTTCAGAGAAACTGCTATGTTTATAATAGGGTAATCCAGCCTCCAAAGCCTCTAGTGGCTGTCTCACTGAAAACCGCTAGAGGCGTTTGCGTGCTTCTCACTGTGAAAATCACAGTGAGAAGACGCCAGCGTCCATAGGAAAGCATTATGAATGCTTTCTTATGAGACTGGCTGAATGCGGACGCAGCTCCTGCCGCGCATGCGCATTCAGCCGAAGAGGAGGATCGGAGGCGGAAAGGAGGAGAAGAGCTCCCCGCCCGGTGCTGAAAAAAAGGTAAGTTTAACCCCTTTCCACTCCCCAGAGCCCAGCGGGAGGGGGTCCCTGAGGGTGGGGGCACCCTCAGAGAACTATAGTGCCAGGAAAACGAGTATGTTTTCCTGGCACTATAGTGGTCCTTTAAAGGCCTGTGCGGAATTCGTTGCAAAATAATAACCTTGAAAATCAGGTACACCCAAACCACCATTCGCTCTGAGATGTTGCTGTGTAGACAATCTGATCCTACTAGGTTTGCCTGACCAAATATATTTTATTATAACCAAATTAAGTTTCTTAAAAAAGGAAAGTGGGATGGACAGCAGTATGGCCCTTAAAAAGTATAGTATTTTCAGGAGAATATTAATTTTTAATGAATGTATTTTACCCAGCCATGATATCTCCAGCTCCCTCTTTTTCTTTTTCTACCAATTTGGCAGTATTTAGAACACCTTCATTAAAATCTCCCAGCATGCCTGGTTCAGTCGTTGGGGACCCATTGTAATAGCACAGGGACTCAATTGTTTGTTACATAATAATAGCTAGGTAAAAAATTAACTAAACGAGTTTAACATTTGAGGCACACAGCGCATAAGCAGTTTTTTGCTGTTATAAGCTGCATTACCAATATGTTTGTATGTTATAAGTGACACAATCACAAATGATGTGAGTCAAACTCATCATCTTGTTACTCTGTATTCACTTTTGCCTTTTTAACATATTGTTGAAATGCATGTTGATATACACGTTGATATATTGATCAGCCACAACATTAAAGCCACTTGCCTAATATCATTTAGATCCTCATTGTGCTACCAAAACAGCTTAGACGCGTTGAGTCATGGACTCTACAAGACCTCTGAACGTGTCCTGTAGTATCTGGCACCAACACATTTGCAGCAGATCCTTTAAGTCCTGCAAGTTGCGGGGTGGGGTCTCCATGGATCGGCTTTGGTGTTCCAGTACATCCCTCAAATTGTGATCTGTGGAATTTGGAGGTGGAGGCAACACCTTGACCTCTTTGTCATGTTCCTCAAACCAGTCCTGAACAATTTTTGCAGTTAGACAGGGTGCATTATACTACTGAAAGAGGCCACTGCCATTAAGAAACACCATTGCAATGAAGGGGTGTACATGGTCTGCAACACTCTCTAGGTAGGAGGTATATGTCAAAGTAACATTCACATGAATCCCAAAACCCAAGGTTTCCCAGCAGAACAGTGCCCAGAACATAACAT